AAATTGTAAACCGCCCGGAGAGTGCTTGTAGCACTATGGGGTGGTATATAAGTCCAAAAATATATAAATGAATGAATGAATGAATGAATGAATGAATGAATGAATGAATGAATGAATGAATGCCATCATAGTTTTTTCAGGCTGGGGGGAAGATTATGCGGGTAAACTGCATAATTCCTTCCACTCATGGAGTTTGTCCATGGAGACAGAAGAGGAGTGGTGTGGGATTGGATGATGGGGAAGAAGCAGTTCTCCTACCGCTGTGCTAGAACGAGGGCAGCTCTCCCTTAGACAGTTGAGGAGTACAACACTTGGCGTCCTTCTTGCCTAGCTGCTGGCCCAGAGCTCTAAAATCTGGGCTCTAAAATCTTCATTCTCTGTGACTGTGATTTCTCACCTGGATCATTCAAATGCTCTCTGTGACTGTGATTTCTCACCTGGATCACTCAATGCCAGTTCTGTATAAATGTGCACCCACTCCCCAGTGGAAGCAGTGTAGCATTCCTAACCGAGGTAGCTTCTCTCACTCAAGTTAATAGTTGATGAAGAGCAAAAGTACTTTCTGTTTGAAATGTTATTTATTTACATGACAGGCTGCCTTTCCCCTGATAAGGCGGTCCAAATTTGGAAATACCTGCACGTATCTCCATGCCAGAAAAGGCTGAACTTGCTAAATGTCTAGGCATCAGTCGTAAGGCTTCTTCTGTGATATGTTCATGCTCATCAGAACCTGTGAAGAAAGCCTAACACACAGCTATCTGTATGGAAGCCTTCTTCAGCCCATCAGAAATCCTCCAAGTGTGGGGACTCCACACATACTGATGAATACACAGAAGCACAGCCTATAAGCATCATGTTGTTCCCTATGTGCATTTTTGTAGTCCAGTGTAAAGTCTGGATAGATCAGTGACCATCTGGCTGAAGAGCCATAGGTTAAGATGTGACTCCTTATGTGCCTTCCAGGAGAAAAGCTAGCCTGTGTAGCCTTGGGCAAGCTACACAGCCTCACGAATACCCCCACAAGAAGGAACTGGTTATACTACTTCTGGGTATTTCCTACCTAAAAAAGCCTAGCTAGAGTTGCCGTAAATTGTTATCAGCTTGATGGCACTGATCCTATTCGTAGTATGGTATGATATATTTCCATTCATCCTATCCATGAGATCCAAGCTTTAATATTTGGGATTCTAAGCAAAGCCAGTACAGTGGTGCCCCGCAAGACGAATGTAATTTGTTCCGTGAGAATTGCTGTCTTGCGAAAAAAATCAGTCTATGGGAACCTCGCAAGATGAATGAAATTTATTCGTCTTGTGAGGCATCGGTCTCGGGGGGGGGGACCCGTCTTGCAAAGCATGGTCATAGAAGAAACTGTCTTGCGAAGCACCATAGCGATCGCAAAAACCAATCGTCTTGCGGGGTTTTCGTCCCGTGAGGCAATCGTCTTGCGAGGCACCACTGTACCTTGTCTCAGATACCATTAGGCACTTGCAGATAAAAATCTCTAGCTGTATCTTTGGTTTCTGAACTCATTTAACAAATTATTTTACCAGGAGCGAAGAGACTGAGTCCAACACCAAGCTGAAACAAGTTCTGAGTGCAGGTAGGTGGGCATTCTAATTATATTGCCTACATATGAATGCCATGTTCACCTTGGCCCTGCTTGGGGGGGGGGTCTTCTAGCTGATGCTAGGATCTCTAAGAGCTGTGTGTCTGATGAATGTTCTGTTTACTTTGCAGCCAAGCAAAAAAGCAGCGTCACTTTCCTAACCATCTATAGTGTTCTGTCATCGTCCTTTGACAGAGTGAAACGTTCCGTGAGCAGAGATGATGCAAAGGTACGTGGGCTGGGTACGGGGAGGGCTAGACTAAAAGACGGGTTGAGGTCAGTATGTCTGCAAGAGGCACATTTTGTGAGTTAGAGGAGAATGTTCTATGAGTGCATCTGATTCTCACACTGGTGTGGATTTGCACTGGAGAAGCTATCTGTTGGAGGAGTCTGTAGATGGGTCTTTCCTCATGATGTAGGTTTACAGCAAGTTCTTGCTTGTGTGTACCTTATTACTTGCTGAACGACTATTAGGCAGCAGTTTGTTGGATGTGCGCTTGAGGTGAAGTTCTCTTTGTGGCATTAGATTTTTGATGGGCTTTTTACTTTTGCAAGTTTTCAATGGATGTTGCAGCCCTGCTTAAACAACCAGCCCTTAGCGGACAGAGCATAAAGTTTCCCATACACCTTCTTGAGGGCAGGGATTTCATTTTGTATCTCTTCACCGATGGAGACTCACTTCCAGCAAGAGTCTTTCAGGGGTCCCTCCAAAGGCACCTTTCACTTAGCCAAGACACAAACTTGCAGGTACAGTGGTGCCCCGCATAGCGACGATAATCCGTTCTGGATAAACCATCGCTATCCAGAATCGTCGCTATACGGAACGGAAAACCCCATAGGAACACATTAAACCTTGTTTAATGCGTTCCTATGGTGGGAAAACTCACCGTTATGCAAAGATCCTCTATCCGGCCGCCATTTTCGCCGCCTCGGTAAGCGAGGAAATCACGCAAAAACGCTGCGGGCAGCCATTTTCTTCACCAGGCAGCCATTTTGGAAGCACCGATCAGCTGTTCTGAAAACATCGCAATGCGACTTTCGCCCATCTAAATCATTGCAATGCGATCGCTTTTGCGATCACTAAATCCGCATCGCTATGCGGATTCATCGTTAAACAGGGTGCTTGTTATGCAATGCACCACTGTACATGTAAATACGGGCCCGCACAAAGAGTCCAGAGAGGGTAGAAGTTACTGTTTTTGAATAATAACATCTGCTTTTCCCAGACACTGAGATGGTAGCATCATTAGCCAAGCAGATAAGGAGGGAGGTGAGAAGAAAGGTCAACTTTTTCCCCCTTTCAGGTATTCCTAAAGACTTGAGAAAAAGAGTCTAATGCTCAAGTCTCAGTTGCAGCCTCTTGCCTTTAATTTACCTTATTATACACAGACCCGGTCTCAGTCCTGGCCAGGGCTGTTTGCCTTACAAGGGAGATGCTTGGCAGGGCATTAAGGTTGCCATAACTTTCTTCTCTCCAGATTCTCATTTTAGGACCATAGAATGACCCAGTTGAAAGAAGCCCCTGGAGTGGAAGGCACGCAGCCCAAACCCTCAAAGCTTATAACCAGAGCTTGGGAGAGTGGCTACAGGTCCATGCCACTCAGGAAATTCTGGGAGGTGTAGGTAGTCTTCCCAAACTTTATTTTAAAAATCTGCTTTCAAACAGTAGCCCATCTACTAGAGCAAGACACATTAAGGTCGCCAGGAAGATCTTTCCATTGTAATATTTAGGCAAAAGTCAGAGGATGAATTCCTATATTTCAGGCCCTCAAAGGTGGACTGCCTTAAGCAATGCTCTTTGGTGCACTGCTCCAAGACTGTTCTCCTCTGTCTCTTGTAGGAAACCCACCTTACGATCTTCTTTCCAACCTGTCTCTGCTTTTTCCCTGCAGCCCTTGTCTCGTAACCCTTCCAAACGAGTAACAATCTCAGGAGTGGTGGGTCCATCAGGAAAAAGTTTCTCTCAACAGGAAGAAGTAAGAGATTCTGCTGAGGACAGGCCATCTGCCTCAAGAAAGTAGCATAAAGGGAGAAGCATCCATCAAATCACACCCTTTAAGGTGTGAAAAAGCTGTCATGAATCAACCCAGGGCCCTCCCGCCAGGTTGGTAGGCTTTTGGGGTGATGTACCCCTTTTCTAGCCAAACCCCTCCAACCACTCCCCATTGACCTACAGGGTTATGGGGGCAAAACATCCCTTCAGGGGTCACTCCTAAGGCCACGCTCTGGTTGCAGGGGACCCTGGTCTCTATGAACCCCTCCTCTAGGTCCACAGTGACCTCAACAACCCCTTACGTCACTCCTAAAGCCTACCCACCCGGGGGAGGGGCCTGGGTAAATTCTTGACCCCTTTTTCCTGCCTTAAATGGGCAGGGCACCTGTCTAAATTTGATTTAATGGATGCTAGACCCTTTATACTACAGAAGAAGACCTGGGAAATTTAGATCCTCTTTTTCACCTTCCAAACCAAACAGCAAAACATCACGAGCAAAATTGCCTAGAAAACCAGAAGAGGCTAGCCACTTTCCAAGATCAAAAATATATGCGGCCCCAGGACACTTTAAAGTAGATGCCATCCCTCAACATTTATAAAACAGGATCTGAAACCTAAACCTATTTTTGCATCACAAGATGGAAGAATATTGATGATAGAAATTCAAAGAAGGATGGAAAAAACTTTGATAGTGAATATTTATGCTCCAAATAAAAATCAAGATACATTTTTCAAAGAACTACAAAAAGAATTGGCTGATAAAGAATACAAACATATTTGCTGTATAAGGGACTAACTCTTCCAGTTAGAACAACAGTCAAAACAAAATAGCTTAAGTGGAAAACTAATACATAATATGAAATCAGTACAACATCAAATACATCTATGGTGGATGTCAGAAATGGCAATAAAGATAAAACAAGTGAAACAAAAAAATTTGAAAAAGCAAAGAAACCAAGCAGATTGCTTGCCTATAGCCTGAGAAAAGAACAAACAAGAAATGAAATTATAAACCTTAAAGACCAGGAAGGACAGACTAAATGGGAGCAGAAGGAAATAAAAAAATTGTCAAGGATTTCTATCAAGCTCTATACAAAGAACCAGGGAAATCAATAACAAAGGAAAAAGAATATCTGCAGAAGCCTGAGTTAAAGAAATTATCTAAAGAAAATAAAGAGATCTTGAATTCGTCTATAACAACGTGTGAAGTGGTAGAAGCTACTAGAAGACAAAAGAATAATAAATCTCCAGGAATTGATGGAATACCGGCTGAATATTAGAAGAATTTTGAAGAAGTTCTAGGTTTACCCTTTAAGGGATTAATAGAAGAAATAGAAATAGAAAAAAAAATCCCACTTTATGGAAAGAAGCAATAGTTTCAGTAATACATAAAGAAGGTACTAATATGGCCCTAATATTCTTCCATGCAGAGAAGGCCTTCAACAATATGAACTGGATTTTTTGCTGACACAGCGGCAATTAATGGAAGCCAGAGAGAAGTGTATAGGAGAAATCAAAGCAATATATTCCAAACAAGAAGCATGAATCAAAGTGAATGGAGAGCTGACAGAAACAATTACAATTGAAAAAGGCATAAAGCAAGGATGCCCACTGTCCCCCCTACTGTTTATTCTCCTGTTGGAAGTCTTGAACCAACATATTAGAGAAGATAAGAGAATCAAAAGGGTTAAAGATTAAAGGAGAAGAATTAAAAATTCAAGCTTATGCTAATGATTAAATAATAATCTTAGAAGAACCTATGATGTCAATAGAAACATTAGTA